AGTCCTCGCCTCTCGTATTTAAATTCTTAAGATACTATATTATATTTTTTTATTAAGTTACACCTCACACATGAGGTGTAACCGTTAAATTACACTTTAAACGCTTAAAGCCCACGTCCTTGGCAAGAGCAAGGCAGCAAAAGCTTTAAACCAAAAGCTTTTTGAACATAGTGATGGTCCCTAAGGACCATCATGCTCATACGAACCATCACTTATTAAAAGTTTCTCCCACTTTTTGCTTTTTCTTTTTTTTTTTTTTTTTTTTCTGGAATTTTAGAATTATTACATTTGCTGTGTGCCTTGTTTTAATGAGAGAAGGTATCAAAGAGAGCCCATTTTTTGGTGTTCTAGGTGCCTTGCTTTTGGGCAATGTTTAGAGTGAGAAATGACCGTTGGAAATTGATGTTTTGAACTTGTTTTCACCTTGTAATCTTCCCAAATCAGTAAGTAAAGTCTTGTGTCATTTTCCTGTGGATGTAGGTCATGATTTATGACCGAACCACGTTAAATTGTTGTGCTTTGTGAATGCATGTTGCTGGATTTTTCATTTTATATTCTTGTTTTGATATTGTGTAGTTTTTATTGCTCATTTATATTGATATGAATGCACAATAAAAGTGAATGTTATAAACCCTTGCTGATTTTTTACCAATCGACCACAACAACTGGTATCAGAGCCTAGGGTTTGTTCCTCATTGTGCCTGTAAAGAAAGGGTTTTTGCTATTGTGGTTATTTACTGTATTTTTCCTTAAAATGGAAAAGGTAATGGAATTTGAAAAATTAAATCAAAGTAATGGAAGATTATTTTGTTGGAAAAGAATTGGATAGGTCAATTCAACGAAAAGAGGTCAATTCGACGAAAAGAGGTCATGCCCGATGGAATGGAAGATCGAGAATGGGATATTCTTGTTCGAAAATGTTTTGCTACTATTAGATCATGTATTTCACCATCAATTTTATTTTATGTTTGTCAATGTAAAACATCTGCAGAGCTTTGGCAATCTTTTGAGCATCGCTCAAGTGCAAATAAAATGCATGCGATGAAAAAATTGTTTTTTTGAAAATGAAAGAAGGTGCAATAATTGGATCGCATGTGAGTGAATTTAATTCTATTTCTCCACAATTGAGGTCTTCGAAAGTGAATTTGGATGAAGAAGTTTTATGTTTGCTTTTGCTGAGTTCTTCACCTGCTAGTTGGGATATCTTGGTTACCACTGTGACTAATACAATAGGTAACAAGTTTAATTTGAAAGATGTTGTGGCTTCATTGTTGAATGAATGGACTAGAAAGGCATCCACACAAATGCTTGCTGAGTCAAATCAAGCATTGGCAGCAGGAGATAGAGGAAGAACCCAACATAGAGATCAACATTATGGATTTAATAAGGGTAAATCTCATAACAGGGGTAGGTCTAAGTCACAGGGCAAGAAGGTTACTTATTGGTATTGCAAGAAACCTGGTCATACAAGAAAGGATTGGTATGCTCTGAAGAGCAAACAAAAGGCCAAGGGCAAAGATGATCATGTCGAAGCAAGTACAGTTTCAGATAATGAAGATGGGGTCACTTTTAGTATTGCATGCACAACATTGTCTATTGCAGATACTTGGGTTTTAGACTCTGGTACTTCATTTTATGTTTGTCCAAAAAGGTCATATTTTTCATCCTACACAGATGTGGATGGTGGCTTGATTTATCTTGGTGGTGATCGAGTTTGCAAAATCTTGGGCATTAGAAATGTTGTTATTAAGCAATTAGATAGAAAGAAGCACATATTGATAAATGTGAAGAGTGTTCCTGAGTTGAAGAAAATTCTTCTTTCAACTGGGCAGTTAGAAGACTTCGGTTTCATAGTGACTTTTGAAAATGAGTTATAGAACATTTTCAGAGTTTGTATGACAATGTTGAAAGGGCAAAAAGATGGGAGTATCTACACTCTTCATGGCACGGCTCAAAGGAATGATGCTACAGAGAAGATTGTTGCTACAACTAATAAGAAAGAGGACATGCAGATTTGACATAGTCGATTGGGTCATCTCAATGAGCATGGTATGAAGGTATTGCAAACTCAAAATTTTATTCGTATTTCTAACTATTCATTTCTTGATTTTTGTGATCAATGTGCCATAGGTAAGCATGTAGAGTTAGTTTTAAAAGAAATGAATCTTATAGAAAAGGTAAAGCATTAGAATTGATATATTCCGATGCTTGTGGCCCTATTAATGTTAAATATCTTAGTGGAGCTTCTTATTTTGTCACTTTTTTATATGATTATTCTATAATGTGTTGATTGTATCATTTGACATCTAAGGATCAAATTTTTGAAGCTTTTGAAATTTTCAAAGTTTTCAAAGCCAAGATTGAAAAAGAAACAAAGAGACTTATAAAATACTTGTAAACTGATAATGATGGTGAATATTGCTTGAATGCTTTTGATACTTTTTGTAGAGAGAATGACATTTGTAGAGCAATGGCCGTTCCTGAGACGCCACAATAAAATGATGTCATTGAGAGGATGCATAGGACCATCATTAAAAGAGTAAGAAGCATGCGTTCACAATCTGGTCTTAGTAAGAAATTTTGGGCTCTGTATATTTAATCAATAGATCTCCCAGTGCACCCTTGAATGGTGAAATACCTGAAATTGTATAGAAAGGTAAAAGTGTGACATATGGACACTTGAGGACATTTGGGTGTGAAGTTTATGTTTAAGTGCTAAGTGAAAGTAGAAGCAAGCTGGATGCGAAGTCAAAAAGATATGCTTTTCATGGTTATGGTGGTGATGATAGAGGTTATAGGATTTGGGATCCTATTGCAAAGAAGACTATCAAAAGTCGGGATGTTCTTTTTAATGAGAATATAATGTTCGCTGAAAGGAAGCAGGAAGAGCCAAAACAAAAAAGACTTGTTGTGGATATACAAGAACCAAATCTCATTGTTTCACCTCGACAAATGCAATAGAGTCGAGCTCATTTGATGGAGGTGATGTTAGTTATGAGGATGACACTGAATTAATTCAAGATGAAGAAGGACAACCAGTTACACCGGATCTAGAATTGAGAAGATCCACAAGCCCTCACAAGGCCACACAAATGTATTCACATTCCTTATATTATGTTTTGTATACTGATAGTGGTGAATCAGAATCTTTTCAAGAGGCTATTTATTGCGTTAATGCTGAAAAATAGCATAAACCAATGGAGAAGGAGATTGATGCTTTGCATAGTAATGATACATGGGAATTAGTGGAACTTCCACATAGGAAGAAAGCATTAAAGAATAGGTAGGTATATGTTATTAAGTGAGAAGCAAATGATCTTATGAAATATAAGGCTAGACTTGTGGTGAAACATTATGGGCAAAAACCAGGTGTTGATTTTAATGAAATTTTTACTCTTGTTGTTAAGCATAACTCTATTAGAGTTGTTTTATCTTTAGTTGCTAACTTGAATTTGGAGCTAGAACAACTTAATATTAAAACAACCTTCTTGAATAATAATCTCGATGAAGAAATTTATGTGTCAGCTTGAAGGTTTTGAGAACAAAACCAATCCTAATTTGGTTTGTAAGTTGAAAAATAGATTGTATGGTTTGAAACAAGCATATAAGCAATGGAATAAGAAATTTGACAGTTTTATGCTGGGTGAAAGTTATTCTAAATGCGAATTTGATTATTATTTGTACTTCAAGGGTACAACATATGATTCTTTTACTATTTTGTTGCTTTATGTTGATAATATGATTGTGGCTAGTAATGATCTGGGTGAAATCAAGCGTTTAAAACTTGATATGTCCGAGCATTTTGCCACCAAGGATCTTGGATCAGCTAAGAAGATTTTGGACTTGCAGATCTATAGAGACAGACAGCAATGTAAGCTTTGGTTAAATCAATCTGAATATATCTATAAAGTTCTTGAGTTATTTAATATGACTGACTGTAAATATGTTTTTACGTCATTAACTGCACATTTTATCTAAAAAGGATTGTCCAATGAATGAGTTAGATAAAAGTAAAATGAAGAATGATCCATATATTTCTGCAGTGGGTAGTCTAATGTATGTGATGGTTTGTACTAGAAGTGACATTGCTCATGTAGTGGGAGTTGTTTCCAGATTTATGTTTAATCCAGGTTGGAAACATTAGCAAACAGTTAAGTGAATCCTTCGGTATTGAAGGGGACACGAAATGTATGCTTGTGTTTTGATAATTCATCATTGGAAGTTGGTTATATAAATGTGGATTATACAGGATGCCGTGATACTACAAGGCCTACCACTGGATACATTTTCAATGCTGGTGGTTTTGCAGTCACTTAGACGTCAAGATTGCAGGATATTGTTGTTATAGCATCAACTGAAGTTGAGTATATGGCATTGAATGAGGCAGCGTAAGAAATGATTTGGTTGATAAAGTTACTTGGCCAGTTTGGGTGAAATATGATAACTATGTTGTGCATTGTGATAACAGAGTGTTATTCATCTGCCTAAGAATTCAGCTTATCACTCCAGACAAAGCATATAGAGGTCATATACCATTTTATTCGATTGAACTATGAGCTTAGAGATTTGCAAGTGGACAAGATTCACACTGAGAAGAACCTTGTTGATAAAGAATACGATGTGTAGAAGACTTTCGAGGGTTGGATAAGACGTAACCTCGAGTGGTTGGAGAGTGGTGCATTAGTGATTATTTATGGGTTTTTCACAATATTTAGTATATTTATCTTCAAAAGAAAGAGAAAAAATATCACCAAAATAATTAGACCACTTGAAAAAATCATCTAGGCAGTCAAATTAACCAATTTATCGACAAAATTGTTATTTTTAAAAATCATTTCACTTGGTACTTCCTCAACTATTTGTTTAGAAAATGCCCAAACTGCCTCGAACCATAAATAAGCGAGAACAATTTGGTGATTTGGCTGTTTGTTTTGGGTTTGAAACTCCGAATAAGAAAGTTTGATGGCAAAAGCATATTCCGCTTTGGGAACCCAAAATAAATATGGGTTTAGGTCCTTTGACTCAAGTAATCTAAGTGGATCAAATTACTTAATGGAAAAAGTTCATATAAAGTTGCAAACCTTAAAATGGAGAATTAAAGGTGCACCTCAAAAATCCATTATAAAAGATTGTTCGTATGTTGAAAAATCTTCTATTTGATCATCTTGACATCGAGATGTATAAATATGAAAGGAAAAAAAAGTTTGAGTCAACAAAATAGTGTATCTTGCAACACATTAACTGGTTCATTCATTTTCAAGATTTTCATGTGTTTATAGATCTATTTAATTTGAACTATTTTTAGGATTTAAAATTTTATAATTAGAGATGAAAATATATTTTCAAGCCATTCTAAGAAAAAATTATATCAAAAATATATTTATGATAAAATTTAGCGGTGCGCCTTAATTGGATTGTTTAAGGTTGCAACCTTATGCAAACTACACCCTTACTTAAAATGCCCATGTTTTTTCAGGATTATGAACCCCAAAAAGAGCAGTTTGACTATGTTAATAGCGTTCTTTAAGCACAAAAAAATTGATTACTTTGTTGGTAAATTTATTAATTTAACCGCCTCATTGGTTTTTTTGAGAGGGTGTGACCCCTTTAATGATATTTTCCCTAAAAACAATCAACTAAGTTAAATTTAATCTTATTTTAGGTACCGTAAACAATTTCAATATACCCATTTTACTTTGGAAAACTCTCAAAATAATAGATGATTTTGTGAAATGCTTTTAAAAGGCATGAAATATTTGCAATGCTTCCTATCATGTAGGGGTTCAGCTCATGCAACATCATCATCTAAGGTTACAATCCTAGTTTCTCAATCAAAAGTAAATAAACTTTAAATCAATATAAAATAAAAACTAAAATGAAGTAATCCAATGTACCATATATAATTAAAGGGATGGTCTACAAAGAGACTATTTATCTTTTGTATATAAAGGTCACCATCATTCTTGTCCTTTAAATTTCAAAATGGGTAGTTGTAAGAGCGTTATTGAAAAGACAAAGTTTTTCAAAAAAAATCTTGGACTCCATAACTCTCTCCAAACCATCCAATTTCATGTCAAAAAATGATTGTGATTTCTACATACAAAAGATAAATAGACTTTTTATAAACAATCCTATGATCAAATGGTATATCATGTTTCTTCCCATTTTCATAACTAACCTAGTGATGTAAGACTTTCACCGTCTCATTATCCCATTATATTTGTAGCATTCCCCCGCGCCAGGTGGGGTGCCAGCATTGCTTTTGTCCCTGATGATGAATGATACAAAAGCAAAACCACCAAAGCAGCTGTGAGATGAAGCTTGCAACAAAAGATCAGGGATCGTGCCTACTCTACTCACACTCTCCATTACTTTACCGGCAATAGTAACATTAATTTGTTTTGTTAAGACTTTTGGTTAGTGATAGTCAAAACTATCCATTTTTACTTTTTGAGGCGTTCAGATTAGTCCTTTAGTGAGCATCTGAAATGGGGTTCATAAAAAGGAAATTATCATTAATATATCTATATTTTAATATATCTATATTTTATTATAATTAGAAAAAAACTTTTAATTTTTTAAAACTTCTTCTACATTTTTTTTTCATGATTTTTTGTTTTTTTTCAAAATCTCGTTTAAATTCTTTCTCACAATTTTCGGCTTTTTTGGACCAAAATGATCTTCATAAAAATTGTTTTACCATAAAGCGCGTTACAGTAATGTGTTTCTTTTGTCTTTTTTTAAAATCTCGTTTATTCTTTTTTTTAACAATTTTTGACTTTTTTGGATCAAAATGACCCCATGAAAGTTGTTTTACCGTAAAGCAAATTACGGTATTTTAAATACCGTAATGTGTTTCTTTTCCCTCTGTTGTCTCGCTTCTACATGCTTCAAAAGCCATTATATCTTAAATGGGTTTCTATCTCAAATGGGTTTCTTTGGGGATCGATGGAGGCCAGTATTTTTCTTTCACTTTCCCTCTCTAAAATTTCAAAGAAGAGGAATACTCCATAACATAGGTTCTTCTCTGCAACTCATTCAACCCTCAAAAGCACTCTCTTCTCTCTCTAAGAATTGGGGTTTTTCTCTGCAAAAGAAGAAGCAAGAGGATACAAAAGGAGGAAGATAGAAAGATCAAGAGGAATGGGTTGGGTTAGGGTTTTCACCGCCTTTGAGAGATCCAGATGCTTTCCTATGTGCTGCCTATTTTCATTGCAGGTATGAATTTACAAAATCCGAATCCCTTCTTTCCGTTTGCAAGAAAACTCAGCTACGTCTCTCTTCTTACATCAAAGAGGAGTTTGGGACCTCTAAAGCTCTCTCTCTCCTCTGGTTATTAGATTAAAAAAAAGAAGACAAGAAGGCACCTAGTCAGGTTGAACTTCATAGGACACGGATGACGAACTAGAGGCCTTGATGCTTCAATCCATGGTATGGGCAATTTGACAAGAGAGAGGGTTTTATTTAAGAGAAAAGATAGGAACAATAAGCCATTCAAGGAGAGAGAGACGGATCAGGCCCTCTCTAACAGAGAGGGAGACGGCATGGGGAATTTCACAGATGTAAAAAAATGGTGGATTGGATTTTTGTCGATACCCACGTGCCTCTGATCAGTGATAATGCATGCTCTCTTCCTCCCTCTAGAACCCCTGTTTCTTTGGATTCTCTCTCTGGAATATATTTTTAGAGAGAGAGAGAGCTGATGCTCTTATGCGTTGTGCTACCAAACGGATGGCATTACAGTATGTAAATTTCCTTATAAAATTTTCTACGGTATGCAAATTAATGTACAAAAAATTTTACGCATTACGTTATTTAAATTATGGTAATGTTCTTTACTTTAAAAAGATACAGTAAAAGTCATTTTAGTCAACAAAAAAAAAAATTCGAAAATTATAGGAAATGGTGTAGGTGAGGTTTTGAAAATTTGAAATTTGTTTTTTCGATTAAGTAAAATATAAATATATTAACGAAAATTTGCTTTCATAAAAACGTGATGGAGATGAATAGTTGGGCGTGGATAGTACTAATTATTTTGAGGCCCAAGCCCATGGCAAAGTGGAAGCCTACCCATTATTCTTAAGGGTGGCAAGGACCAGGTCTAAATTGGTCCTCACCCTAACCTGGCCAGGCCCTTGTTCCCATAGGGCCGGCCTAGTCCCGGCTGGCCAGCACTCGGCCTAGTCCTGCCAGTTTTAGGGGGGCCAGGCTAGGACGCCAGCCCCTTGCAAGCCCTAATTATTACTTAGCCTAAAAGGAAGATGTTTGTTTGGTTAGCAACCTAAAAGAAAAGGGAAAAATATAAAAACTAACGCCAATCCTACTTCCCTTGCTCGCACATATTTCAAAGTTTACTTGGACTTAAAATTTCGGGATCCACGTTAAAATCACTTATGATTATTTTCAACAAAACAATTAAAATTAGTTTGAGTTCCTAACACTGAGATTTGGTTGTCTAAAAATTGGACGGTCTACATTCATTTTTAGGATGTATTTTCTCAGGCTCACCGAATTGGAAAAGTATATTAAGAGACCCTTTACTTTTGACGCAAAGATGTCACAAATACTCTTGCTCATCAGATTTTTAAATCGGGTGATTGTAATAGTGTCATTGATCAGACTCAAAGTTTCAAAAAGAAATTTTTTAAATTTCATGACAAACTTCAAGCCATTTAATTTGACTTCTAGTGTTTAGGATTAATTTTACCCTTTTTGTTACAAATATAAATGGTTTCATAGTATATAATTATAATTATAATTATAATCCCCACATAATTTCTGGTCCTAATGGCGTCCCTAGGTCGGATTTTGCCAAAGGGAGCAAATGGGCAGTCAACTCTTGCTAGAGTATGAAATAATTTATCGAAACAAAAAAAAGGTTTTAATCAACTAAATTACAAATAAAGCGGCAACTTTTAAAATCCTTCCATTTAGGTACATCTTCTATTAGTTTATTAGCAAAATGACCAAATGGCCGTTGTTCCAAAGTTGGAACCCTTAAACAAGTGAGAGCAATTTTGAATTTGGTTATTTGAGCCAAATGGCTTAAATACCCAATTTTGTTTCATCACATATATGTTTTGAGTTTGAAACCCTAAATAACTAATGCAATTTTCATCTTTTCGCTAGGGTGACTTAAGTGTGGCCAAATTATTAAAATAAATCCGTTTAATTCATGTTCAACACCAAACCAAGATTTTTTAATTGGGTCATTCGACGGAAGTGCT